TTCCTAGCTTCTCTTCTTTTTCTTCTTGCTTCTCTCTTGAGCCTTCTTTCTTCTTTTCTTTGCTTCTTCTCCTCTAACTGCTGCTTCTCCTTTTCTCTTGCTTCTCTTTTTAGCTTTCTTGCCTCATTTCTTCTTCTCTCATTATCATCGAGAGCTCTTTCGGCATCAGTAGCCTCAAGATGTGGTAGTGTGATGTTGCTCGCGGTCGACGCGCCCAGCTCGCTGCTGTCCGTGTTGACATCCACCCACTTCACGCTACTAGTTTCTCCTCCGGCCTACATACCTCATGCGGTGAAGCGTATATGAGGTAACCTGTTCTGATACCACTTGTAGGATCTCTGATTGACCTAAAAAGGGGGGATGAATAGGCCTATCAAAACAAACACTCAAACTTTTATCAAATTCACCCTGAGGCACTACCGGACTGCGGCACTACTAGACCAGAACAGCGACACTGCCGTACCTACAGACAACTTCGAGTCACAGTTCAAAATCAGTGAACAGAAACATAGATTGGAGAAATTTCTCAGCTTACTACAGGTATTATAGTTACAAATCAAGAGATAGAATGAGTAGGAACACCACACACAAGTAGATCGACTAGAAACCCTAGAGATCACCTCAACCAACAATATGAAATGCAAGTAATGTAAATCAAGCACAAGTGACACAATGATTTATCACATGGTTTAGCTCGCCACCAAGGCTTGCCTACCTCTACGTTGTTGAGGTTAGCCACTAAGACTTAGGGCTTTCCAACCCTTCCTCGTTCTCAAGTCAAAAGACTTAATTCTTGAGATGAGGGGTGAGTATACTAGCTTCAAGAGATGGTTACAAACCTCCCGGGACTGCCACACAAGTTAGCAAGCTCCACGAGCGACGCTCTAGCCGGCTAGGAGCCAAGCTCTAAGAGTAACAAACACAACCGCCGGCCAAAACATGAACCAAGAGCTCTTTCGAGTTGGGGAATCAATAGAGCTGCTCTCTAATCAAGTTTTGGACCCTTTCCCTCAAGGATTGATGGAGAAATCAACGGATTTGCTTGGGGGCTTAAGGTCAACAATGGAGGGAGAGAGAGAGAGCTCCTTTTCTATTTGGGCGTGCTAAAATCATCAGGAGGAGGAAGAGACGTTGGAGAGGAACAGGATGGGTATAAATACCCCCTCAGCCCCAACGGTCACTTAAGTCGTGACAGTGCTGCGGCTTAAGTGCGGTAGTGCCGCACCACGCAAGACAACAAGGGTAAAAGTGAAGTGTAGACTGTCTTGGCTATGAATCTGAGGATACATGTTTATGTTTGAGCACTTGGTAGCATATATTAGCTTAAGCATTGTGTTCCCTTTATAGTACGGCTTTTCCTATATTTAAATTCAAAATATAAAAGAATTTAAACCTCCTTTGAGTTTAAAGCCATCTACATTTGTAATTGAGAGCTCCTCCATTTCGTGTAGCATCCTCGAACATGAATTCCCTGCTTATCATCTCGATAAATCTCATTAGTTCTCTAATTGCGTGGCCATTATCATTAAAACTCGTAATTAGGACTTGATTGCACTTTCAATAACAAAATTGGATTTTTCCCTCACGTAATCCTCCTCTTCCTGTAGTCCTAAAATAAAACCTCATGTATATCGGGCCTCGGCACGGACTCATGTACACACAGCAGGAAGATTAGGAAGTCCACCGCCTCCTTTCAGGCCTCCGCATACTGCCGTGAACGCGGCCGGCGGCCGACGCCACCTTCACATCTGTAGTTGTCGCCCTGTCGTTGTTGAGACCTTCAGCTCTCTGCCTAACACACCAGAAGATTACAGCTTCATCTGCGGGTCCCCAATGGCCGACGCCGCCTTCACGCCTGTAGCTGCCGACATGCCGTCATGGACACCTTCAACTCTCTGCCTAACACATCAGAAGATTGATTAATGCATGTATACAATTATTTATTTTTGTGTTGATATGAACTAATAAAGATTGATTACGATCTAATAAAGATTGATTAATATAATATGTGATGCATGTTTATAAAAATTATTCTGACCTCTCTTTCAACTACATGTTTCTAAAAAGTAATCTACTCTTTTCCGACTTGCATGTTGCAACTAAACTGACCTCTCTTTCAACTGTCTGTTTCTTAAAAGTAATCTATTTTCCAACTTGCAAGTTACAACTAAACCTCAATTGCTTAAAATTTTGTCGCTTGACTCTATAACATATTTCCAGTTTATGCATTTAACTTTAATTTTTTGTTTCACCATTGCTTTAAAATTCCTTGATTGCAGTGCTCCATATTAACAATATAAATAAGACAACCAATCGGTGCAGAAAGTGACCAACACGTAAATATTTGTAGTTTTGCCGTACGTTGTGATCGGAGGTGGCCTAGCACTCAATGACACAGGGTTTATACCGGTTCAGGCAACGTGCCCTACGTCCAGTTTGAGTCGGTCGGTTACTTTATTCCTGAGCCTAGGTGCTAGAAGTTTGTAGTGGGGTTAGAAACGAGAAGAAGAAAGATGGGGTATACAAGAAGTCCGGTCGGCTCCGATCGGAAGGGCCGAGAGTGACAGGAGCTCCGTTATGAGCTAAGTGTTCAAACGTGTGCTTAGGGTTCGAACCTGGCGGTTATGTGGTTGTGAGCTAGTGAACTTGGTTGATCTAATGAATCTAGGATGATTTGTATGATCTTGAATCCACCGAAGAGAACTGAGTTATGTTGGAGGGGGCACATCCCCTTTTATAAATGAAGGGGGTGGCCTTACAAGTGAGAGGGAAAGAGTATATTCACTGGTAAGTCTTGCTACCCACGCTGGCGGGTATAGGATGTTTGTAGGCGCCCACAACACTGTTGATGTTACTGTAGAATGTCAAATGCATGTGAGAGGTTGTGTCGTCTTCTTCAGGTATGACCGATGTCAATACCTGCCATATTGTTGATGCCCAGAGGCATGTGAGAAGTTCTACCATATTCGCTCGGTACGATAAAAGCCGGCGCCCACAACACTGTTGATGCCCAGAGGCATATGAGGGAGCCTTACCGTAGGGGAGTTAATGACGCCCACAATACTGTAGGGAAAAATGCTGGCGCCTACAACACTGTTTGTGTCAGGGCGGTTGCAGAGTACTATTCCTGCAGGTGGACAGGGTATGGTCCCGGTATCGTGGTTCGACTTGTGCGCCATGTCCTGCTTTCTCCATCTGTTCCCTGGTCCTTTCCGAGCAGGCGTCCCCGGTCGGTTGTTTCCAGTCGGCTCTGATTGTGCCAGTCGGAGAAGAACAGTGAGCAGGTGCTTGGCATATCCTCGGTCGGAAAGCGCGGGGTCGGAGATGAAAGCAGTGCTTTTGGACAGGCCTTCCGTTCGGAGAGGCCGTCCGGAGGCGGGCTGGAGACCGAAGCGAGTGCTCCGGTCGGAGATGTGGGCCGGAGTCGGTGACTGGGCACTGTTCTCCCTCGGCCTGGTCTTCCGATCGGAGAGATTGGATCACTCCTTTGGCCTGTCGCTCAGGTATTCGGGCCGGCCCACTAGCTGAGCGCTGTCTGCTTGGGCCGAGCCTTTGCGGGGAAGCCGGTACACGAGGGACCCCGGGTTCATGAACCCGACAGAACCTAAACCTTGTTATGGCTTCGACCAGTGGCGGAGCCAGGAATTTGCGGCTGGGTATGCCAAATGTATAAATTTTCGAAGCAAATATGCAATATGATTGACGATAAGTTATAATAGTCATAACATTTAAACAAATCCATAGTAATAACCAAAGTACAAGTTCAAAACATAAATAATTAAGAAATATTACTCTCAATCTCAATAGAACGAGCATTTGATGCGGACGTGGAGTTTTTTTTTTGCCTTTACAGCTTTCTCCCACAATGCAAATATGCTAACACCCTTCTTCATCTACATTATAAGAATGAAGAATACAATCAAAAGAATTAGAAAAACAAATTTTCAATAGTTTACTGAGGAGTGAATCTAGGGTGCTCTGCATCTGCTATGCTCACCTTGCTTGAAGCTGCCGAGCAGAGGAGGGCCGGTCGCCGGAGCCCAGTGGGTGCTCGGTGCTGTAGATGGGGAGGTGCCGCCCGGCCGCCGCCGGTGGCCAGCTCCTTCGTGCTGGGACTCTGGGGGCGAGCGACGAGGAGGGGAAGGGGAAGGGGCGAGTCGGCCGGAGTGGGGGAGATGGCGAGGACGGAAGGACGCGAGGTGCTGCCCGCCGGCGCTGGTCGCTAGAGACTGGAGTGGGGAGGTCCGGAGGTGGCGTGTGGCGGGCGTCGTGCTGCCGTGCGTGGCTACGTGCTGCGGCGTGGACCAGCGAGCACGAGTAGGGAAGGGCGCCGGGCAGGGGCAACGCAAGCGACAGTGTGTATTCTGGGCTTTGTTGCTTTCATGGGCTGCTAGATTGCCAGAAACAGATGTTTATTGGGCCTATGAGCCAGAAACATGAATGTATGAAGATATGTATAAAGATGTATATACTTATTAATTTATTCTCTCAAATCTTGGGTATGCCTTGGCATACAGGGGCATACCCCTGGCGCCGCCACTGGCTTCGACCACAAGACAAGATGGTAATCTGACCACAACATCAGATGGCAATGTTCAAGGTGGTATGTTATTTGGTTTTTAAAAAACAGTTTGTTTGGATTATTTATTTCAAAATGAATTAGCCTTTTCGAATATTTGTTAGAGGATGAAGTCGACTTGGAGAATAGAAATTCAATAAGATGTAAAAGGAAACGTGAAGCACAAGCTACTCATGTAATGTCTTGTGATAAAGATGTTGAAAGACTGGCTAGAAACCGAGAATATCAGCGTAACTATCGTGCACGGTTACGGGGTAAGGCTGATGGCAACCAAAAAGAACACCCTGATCCTGGCGTGATAATAGCGAAGCAACCAGGTTCGATTAAAAATAATGTTACTAAAAAAATGGCAAGTTAGATTTAGGTGATGACTTCTGTAGTAAAATATTGCAGTACATACCTTTGCTTTTCAGATTTTTTTTCACCTTTTCGGGGTTGCCAAAGGGATCTTCCTTTGATACCATAGCATCCTTTGACAACAAATGTGGTTGCTCTGGTTCAACATAACATCTTGCTTCAGTATTGGAAAATACTAACCATGGCAAAAACATTAAACAAAACAAAGAAATTTACATTACAACCTGGATCTGTTTTATGTGATTTCCCCTTATGCTTTCCAGCAGAAGTCTCGTTTGCCTCATCTTTTAAATCGGAGTCCTTCACTTGCATTGCACTGCTCACAAGCAAATAAAACAAATGACAGTCAGATCCACAATCTACTGAGTTTCAGCAGCAGCAAACTGTTAGGAGAGGAGCCTCACTATTCTCCTTCTTTTGCAAATATTCCTTCAGTGGAGCACTGATTCATTTCTAGCTTAACTCTGATTTTCCTACCAGGAACAGGAAATCCATTCTTTTGTTGAATAGCTCGATCAGCATCTTGAACAGTTGCACTGGCATATACGGGAACACATTATATTATCATTGCTATTTTCTGCAGTCAGGATGACAAGAAAGTAGTCAATCAGTAACTGGACTGAACTACATTGTCATTGCTATTTTCTGCAATAATGAGATGTTCAGTGTTCACTCAGATCCTGCTATGATAGCTTCTTCCATTTTTTTGAAAATTGTAGATCCACCGCTAAAATTCTTATTTTAGAAAGCTAATTTGCTTATGAAGTTTGGAAAGGAAAAGCATTTTTTTACTGATATAATGCAGTATGCCAACTGTCAGCGTAAGATACTAAATCTTTCCCCATCCCTGGTCCCGCTGTAGATGATGATGAGGAAGATTACGACAGTCAATGAGTCTGAGCAACTGAACTTACCATGAAATAGAGCGCGGCAAGGAGACGCGAGCTGCTGGAGCCACCACTGGACTCGCCGAGTAGGAGCCGAAGGCGCCCTTGTCGCCTCGCAGCCGAGAAGGAGGACCTGCCCTGGTGGCCTCCGGACGGCGCGACCAGCAACGGCAACCGGCCCGGCGGCGCGGCCCTGCCCCGGCGGCCAGCAGGCATCTACCAGCTCCGGCGGCCAGGCCCCGCGGAGGTGCTCTGCCCGGCACAACTTCTTCCCCGGCGGCCAGCCCTGGGCGGCGCGGCCAGCCCCAACGGCGATGCTCGACACGGCTCGCATTCTTCCCCGACATCTACGGCAAGGAACCATGGCGGGATTGGAGGATTGGAGCTGGAGCGGAGTACGGAGAGGAGCTGGAGAGAAATGGGGAAGACATTGAATTGGGATGCGCCGTTGCACATAAATTTGTGCCGATAGGAGCAATTATGGAAGTTTGGTACTTGGCCTGCTTGCCGCTACCAGTGGGTCTATGGGATTTTGGTCCAATTAGAATTAGAAAATAGAATATATATACATGTACAAAGTTGGTAAAAAAACTAATGAGAAATTTAAAATTATGAAAGTAAAATAAAATAAAATAGAATTCATCAAAAAATAAATAAATTGGATACAAATACAAATGTTTCACACAAAAAATCCCATATATTGAAACAAAATTTAATTTATATACAACAAAATTTACAGATACAAGAATAAAAAAATGTTGGTTTCAAATAAACATAGAAATATAGGATAAGATGATAACGGCAAGCAAGCTAGAAAATAGCAAATAAAAAATACAAATGTCTTATAAGCACGTGCGAACGTGCGGGTCGCACGAGCATGTATAAAGGAGCGAATGAATTGAAATTTATTGTTACCGTAAAAATTTTCTACCCACCTTAGTCCACCTTAATTTGAAAGATGAAAAAAAGAAGAAGAATGACATGAACGTATGAAAGCCGTAGTAATCCTACGCGTAGGATCTTACGCCTTCACCCTTGCGGCCGTGCTTCCCTCACGTTTTTTTTTCACCGAGCGATTGTTTACCCGCCCGCATACCCACGGTGGTTACCATCTCCATGAATCACGACGCTTCCTTCCCCACCGCGGTTTCCTTCTCCGTGCCGATCTCGATCCCGGCCTCCGCTGTGCTCCCCCTCCGCGGCATCGCTCCCATCGCCGCGCGCCCCATCTCCCACCGGCCCGCGCCTGCGTCTGCCCTCCTCCTCTCGCCCCCGCGTGCCGCCGCGGCCTCGCGACCCCCGTCCCACGACGTTCCCGACGGCCTCTTTCCCTTTCCCTCTCCATCTGCATCTCCCCTCCAAATCCTTCCGCATAGCCTCGATAATGGCGGCTGCATTGGCTCACGGCACCAGGAGACCAAAGGCCCAAGGAAAGAAGACGCGCCCTCAATGGTACCCTCCTGCGTGGTAGGCCATCAGGGCCTCCGCGCCCTACACGGCAGCAAAGCCCGTAGCCGCATCCGCACCACCAGGAGACCAAAGGCCCGAGGAAAGAAGACGCGCCCTCCATGATGCCCTCCTACGCGGCGCCTCTGTGGTACGTACGCCATCAGAGCCTCCGCGTCCTGCATGGCGGTAGAGGCCACAGCCGCATACCCCGACCAGTTAGTGTGTAGCTAAGTCTCCAGCCCTAGCTAGCCTATAGTACATAATGTCGAGCGCGGAGCCCATGCACGTGTAGGAGGAACAGGCGTCACCAATGAGCCGCTGCCGACCACCCATAATGCAGATGGCAGATGCTCGTGCACGTGTAGGGAGAAGCCGGAGACAGCGCCGTCTCTGGAGGCGTCCGAGCATCAACATGACTGTTCAGGGGTTCGGAAAATCGTTTGGAAAGCAAATATGGAGAAAACAGCTCAGAGAAACATTATGGTGATATACGAAGATTGGAGAATATTTAGAAAAATATTAAAACATGACTTAGCTTTAGACAGAACGTCTGGTCGGCGGCGCATGGCGTTATCTGGTCGGCGTTAACAAAATTGCCCGGCTCTCGAGCTTTCCGAAGTTGCTGGTCGGCGACGCGGTAGGTGGTCGGAGTAAGTAGCCCGGACGACGTCGTTCTTATATTAGTGGTCGGCGACGCAGGCAGCATGCTTGACGGCTAGAACAGAGTTGATCTCGTGTTGGACTAGGACAGACGTAGTCAGATAGAGTCCTGCAGCATACAGTCCCACATGCTTGCCGTGACCGTGATCCTAAGCCAGACTGCAATGTTGGCGACAGTGTGGCACTCCTCAGATACGGCCTTTGCGCCGCGAGACTGCACACGCTAGTGCTCGCCCATTGTTGCAGGTCCTCCAGACGACGCATCAGAAACGCAGTGATGAGCGAGGTAGATAGAGAGACGCGGCCGCCAGATCCTGATCAAGACCTTGCTTGCTAGCTTGTATATGAAAGCATGCAATATGACTCCTAGCCGGTTGGATCTTGTAGATGCGTATGTGTTCTTGATTGCTAGCTGGTTGATTAATCGCCTTGCATGTATGGTGCATACATACGTGCAAGTTGGCTTGCACGCGTCACCAGCTTGCTTGTTTTGTATTGGCTTGCATTACTTCGTGTCCTCCTTACTGGCTTGTTGTATATCTTATTGATATGACATGACCCTAAAGTCTATCAGGCTTCATGCGGTGCTTGTAGGCTTTCTCTTGGAGAGTTGGAGCCGGTCAGGGCAGATTGCCCATATGTTGGAGTCGGCGTGGACTCAGCAGAAGTTGGACGCTGGAATCTGCAGGTAGCCGAATCGCCGTAGATCGAGGTGCTCTGCAGGTAGCCGAATCACCATAGATGATGATGAAGTTTTCGTGCAAAACCAAAGAACGATCTTGCGGACAACGTCACGTTGATCTTGGGGTCCATCTGATTCACTAGAGGATCAGCGCGCACACCTCTACCTGGCGCGCCAACTGTCGACAAAAGATGTTCGCAGTCCATCGAGGGTATCCCATAATGATAGATTTATCGGTGGGGATGCAAGTAATCAGAAACCGGATGGTGACACAAGGCGCAGAGACAGCGATTTAGACAGGTTCGGGCCGTCTGATCGACGTAATACCCTACGCCCTGTGTCTTTGGTGTATTGTATTGATCTTGCCTTTTATGTAGATGACCCCTGCCTCTCCTTATATACTCTGGAGGGGTAGGGTTACAAGGAAAGTATCCTATTTGGTACTATACAATAGCTTGTGGTGCACGCCGAGCAGCACCGTGCACGCCTTGATCTTGTGGGCTAGGCCACCTCTGATGGTGCGGCCCATGTCTTGTCTTGTGGATACTGGGGGCCACACCCCCACAGAAGAAGACCAGATCAAGACATCGTTCATCACGCCTTTCGGTGCATACTGCTACACCACCATGTCCTTCGGACTCAAGAACGTCGGGGCGACCAACCAAAGGGCCATTCAGATGTGCCTCGACCAACAGATCAGTCTAAACGTCGAAGCTTACATCGATGATGTGGTCGTCAAGTCCAAGACCGTCGGCAATCTTATCGCTGACCTCGAGGAAACTTTCGCCAACCAGAACAAGTACCGATGGAAGCTGAACCCTTCAAAGTGCATCTTTGGAGTTCCATCTGATATACTGCTGGGCTACATCATCAGTGCTCGCGGCATCGAACCCAACCTTGACAAAGTCTCTGCCATCACCAACATGAAATGGCCAACATGCGTCAAGGATATACAGAAGCTTATAGGCTGCATGGCTGCTTTAAGCCGCTTCATATTGCGCCTCGGCGAAAAAGGGCTACCATTCTTCAAACTCCTCAAGGCCTCCAAGGGCTTTTCATGGTCGGAGGAGGTAGACACAGCTTTCGAGCAGCTCAAGTTGTTCATAACAAAGCCTCCGATCATGACGGCGCCACGGCCAGACGAAACTCTCCTGATCTACATCGCCGCTACTGTCGACATAGAATTTTCGTCTCTGTGCCGAGGACACACGCAATAAGCCGGAAGGGTCCGCTCGATGGAGCAGATCTGCCTAGCTTCAGTGCAAGGGTGGTCGATCCTGCACAATCCTCCCGAGACATGCCAGTCAATTTGACCCTACAATTGACAAGGAGAGAAAGCTCATCAGTAATTAAGGGCGGAATGTGCCGGTGTTGCCAGACAGTCCTGAATGTGCGGCTCTGAGAGCCGATATGAGAGGAGATCGACTAAATAGTCGATCCCAGCATATTAGCAAGAATAAATCGGTTAAAGCTCATGGGGTTGTATAAGAAGAATCAGTTATCATTCATGATAAATGTTGTTTAAGAAAATATTAATCAATGGCAATAAAAGATGATATTATGTCGACAATAGGGAATCCAGCTAGCTGACCCAATCGCACCTAGGCGCCGGTGAACTTGGGAGGTGGCCAATTTGGCGTTTTGGTCATCGTCGGCCATGGGAGCCGCCGTAGCCAAGGGGTTTGGGGTAAGTCCCACTCCATGGGGAATGAACCTAATTGATGGTGTTTCTGAGCTGGTGTTGATCCCCTCGATTCGGTGCTTGCTTCCGTTTGGCCAGGGCATGCGTCGTCGACGTGCTGACGTGTCGGTGTCAGCCTCGGAGCGTCGTCGCGGGGTGCAGGCGTACGTGGCCAGGGTTCCTCGATTGCCCTCCTCCTCAGCAGATTGCGCGGCTGGTTTCATGCTAATCCCCTTCTGCTTCCCCATAGCCTCCATCATTTCGCTAGCTCTTAGTTTCATCGGAACGGATGCGTCGCCGTGGAGGTTACTTCGTCAGCGTGGATGTCACGCAGAAGTCATCGTTTAGCTTCTGGTCGCCGCTCAGGGTCCCGCGCTGGCTCCGCAATGCTTGTCGGCCTGGTGGGTGCATCGATGTGGCTCGCGGTGGGTCGGCATGGCCGGGCGGTGTCGGCCGGAGCCACGCCGTCGTGCGTGGAGGCGTCGGGGGCCGGCTCAATGTGAAGATATGTTTGTTGGGGGTGCTCATTGCATAGAGTTTCTCTAGTACAATAGTACGCAGTGGCGCCGCGTAATATCCGGTCAGGCCAGGGGCTATTTTGCTAAAACATGGGTGTGTGCGCGGGCTCCCCTGTCTTGGGCCACTGCTAGGCCAACTGCTGCGCGCGCCACGCTCCGAATGGGCTGCTGGGCCAAATTGCTGTCACCGTCCATTTTTTCTAAAGGGGTTTTCCAAATTAGTTTCTAAGGTAAAATTGTAAATTCAAGATAAATTTGTGTAGATGTCTAAAAATTGTGAAACTAATTTTGTTAACCTTCTAAAATCATGATTATCTGTTAGTATATTTTGTTCACATAGCTTTATAGAATTTTTAA